ACTCTTCTCTTGGCGAATAGAGGGACCACCCATTCTGCGCCTGATACGGAGGGTTGGGCACGAAGTAAAAGGCATAGAGTTGAGTTACGGAAGCTGCAGATGGCAGATAAGTGGGCGGTTAACGATAGCTGACGCGCAGTGCATACCCGTGACGGTGAGCTCCTTCACGCTCTCAAAGACATCAACAGCTTCCTTCTCGGTCGAAAACAGTAGGATTATCGATTCAAACGTTCTTGTACGAATCGTGAGGGGACATAGGCCTTGAAGGGTAAGTGGCAGCCGTGTCACCAGCGAGATCAGTGGGTACGGGATCTGCAGATCCAGTCAGCTCGAAAGGCCACCTGAAATCAGACGGCGACTAACCCACATCTCCTCCCGTGTGGGATCATCATCGTAGTGGAATATGAGATGATGCGCAGTGAGGTGTACCGTTCCTAGGGCGGTGGTGCCCGCCTTACAGCACAGAACGCCCTCCACCTTGAGACGCATCGTCGTCAATTAAGGAGCTCCGATTGATAACCAAGCTCAGTCCACATACCCTCGCAACTCGGATACCGTCCATAGCAAAAGGGTAAAATGATTCTGAGATAGGCTTTGGAGGCCACGGTCCTCGTGAGAGAGCAAGACGCGCGCGGTTGGGCGCTTACTACGGAACGCTAACACTGTGATCATTGATTCTCATCGGTGGCGAATGCATATGCAGCGAGCTTCAAGTCTCAGAGACCTGTTGGCTACTTGTCGGCTAACTGATCTCCGGTCGTACGTTACCTCAGGCAGCGATTTGAAGCGAAGACCGGACGGATACACGAATTCTTACCTGAAACCGTGAAAAGGCGCGGACATAATGAGTGGTGCTATATCATTACTCCCCTTGCACGCTTTCTGTCTGTGATGCAAACTTATGGAGTAGCTGTATGTCGAAGAATCTACGTTTGTAGCACCACCTCGGTACAGCTGCGGTTTACGTATTCCATACGTTCGACCGTAGAGAGGAATTTGGAAAGATTTGAGTATGTAGTCGCTGTCATGGCCTTTCAAATCCTTGTACTGATGAACTGACTGCGCTTCCCACCAGCCATACCTGACACTGTCTGCGTATAGGTTACTCGTTCGCGCATCATCCACCCTGGTGGATTTTTCTATCTCGGAACCTGGCCTCACGCGCATCCCGATCGTAGTACGCATGTGTGATCCAACGTAGCCCTTACAGTGAGTCCCGAGGGATCTCTTCATTACGGCAATTTGATTGATTTTGCATTGCGTGTTCAGTAAATATATCTGTACGTCAATGTGTTGTTCATCTCACGCTCGCTACGACTGAAACGGCGCCACTAGAATGCAGTTCGCTGACAAAACCACACTCGGACAATCCGCTGTTTTGGGCATATTGTGAGGCAGTTTCTGCAAGGACCGCTTTCCTGACAATAATGATGCGTATCGAAGAACTGATGCACACCTGAGCCAAAACCAGTTCGACTGGCTCAGCACAGTATTCTATCTTTTCTACCTCGGCTTTGAATTCCCGCAAAACTACGCGCTGCAGCGCTTTCCGGTCGGCAAATGGGTCAGGTCAGCACGCTCGTCCTTCCTTCTACGACATCTCCTTACATTGTGCCCGTGTTCGCAGCATCAACATATTTGTCTGGTCTGTCGCCCTGTTCTGCCATGCCGCGGCGAAGAACTTCGCGCAGCTCGTCGTGTGCCGCCTGTTCCTCGGCATCTGCGAGGGCGCGATCACGCCGGGATTTATGATCGTCACGGCGATGTTCTACACACGCCAGGAGCAGACGAAGCGGGTGGGCTACTGGTGTGAGTAACGTTATTCGTTTCTGTTCGCGAGAGAGCATTGACGGGCTCCCAACGCAGTCTTGATGAACGGAACTGCAATTATCATGCTCGGCCTTGTCGCATACGGGACATTGCACATCAAATCGAGCAATGTGGCGCCATGGCAATGGTTTGGCCTTTCGCTTACGTCTCTTCTTTGTCAATACTGACAGTGCTTATCATATTTAGGCTTGTGATCATCATGGGCGCTATCACGTTTGTAGTGTCCATTCTGTTCTGGTGTGTTACCTTCTCCTTTGGGGATTGTCGACGCCTTTGTAGGACTAGTAGCCTTATCCGGGTCCGCAGGTTCTTCTTTCCGGACTCGCCAACCTCCGCATATTTCCTGACATCGGAGGAGAAGATCATCGCTGTCGAGCGGCTCAAAGTCAATCAAGCCGGTGTCGAGAACAAGCATTTCAAGAAGGAGCAGCTATTTCAGTCCGCGCCGATGTCGATTCGCGTGCTAAATTTGGTTCCTCGTGCAGGATGATGGAATGCTTCAGAGACCCAAAGGCATACCTATTCTTCTTCTTTGCAGCCATCTCGTACGTTCTTCCGGTTTTTTCGGAAGTCGGAAAGCGACGTTGACTGTGGTGAAACAGGAACGTTACGAATTCGGTGCGTGCAGTTTGCTGACGGAAGCGCTCGAGAACGCCTTCTTAGGAAATTTTTATGACAGTTGAGCAACCAGCGACAAATTATCGTCGCCGAATTTAGCTTCTCCGACATCGACACCACTCTGCTCGGCTGCGTGGATGGCGTGGTGGAAAGTTCGTATCAAACGCTGACATTCTGTGTGTTGATGGCGCTGACACTCGGCGCGCTCACTTACTTCCAGTGATTGTGATCTTTTGCGGGGTCATGTCTGCGACGTACTGGAAGAACGGCCGCGCGTACACCGGGGCGCTGCAATACTGCGTTGCGATTCTTGGTTCGATTCTTGTCAACACCTTACCGTGGAGCGACAAAGTCGGCCTGCTATTCTCCTACTGGATATCCAGTGCGTTCTCTCCCTGACCATGTTCGGGATGGATTCGTCTGACACGGGTGGCTGTTAGTTAACGAGATCGCCCCGTTCGTTATCATGCTTGCGTGGGTGGGCTCGACGACCGCAGGGCATACCAAGCGTGCGTACATGTCTGTTCTGCGAGCTGGCATTTTGCTCATGACATCTTCAGGTGTCACGATGAATGCTATCGTCATGGTCGGATACGCCGTTGGAAACGCCGTCGGCCCGCTGTACTGGCAAGATCAATACAAACCTCGGTGCGTCATTCGTGCATACTACAGTACTCAGTGCCCAATATCTAATCTTGTGTTGGATCTGCAGTTACCGCGTGCCATGGTCGATCCTTTCTGCATGCTGGTTCGTGTCGATGCTTTTGCTTCTTACCATTCGGTGGGTTCTCGCGCGCGAGAATGCACGGCGGGAGAGGGAGGAACACGACCCGGCGTACGACGAGGTATACATCACGGACGAGAAGACGGGCAAAGAGGTCAAGGTCGACAAGGTCAGTGCACGTCAGATCCTTTGGCTGTGGTCGACACACGTGTACTCATCAATCGTGCCTTTTGCGCAGGCGTTCTTGGACCTTACGGACATGCAAAACAGGGACTTCAGGTATCCATTATAGTCAGGCTTGGATGGATGAGATTATTGTCACGACATGTCATTTATGCTGTATATGATTACGTGCAACTAGATTGTACCTTACGGATACAGTTTGACGTATACCTTGCTTAATACAGGAGAAAGATATCCTCTCGGACAGCATTATGAATTCAGCATTCGTCACTTACACGAAAAAGGCGGAATATAGCAGCTTTGCTACCGATTCTACTGAGCTATCGATGATCGCGCTATAAGCCTGTTCTTAAATTTCATGAGCTGGAGGATGCGCGTATCGTCAAAGGATAGCAGATTATATCAAAAGTCAATAGTAAACAAAGCCACCGAAAACCAGTTATCCTTGTGGTGTGGAAGATAGAGTGATGTCAGAGAGGAGAGCCAAACGTTCTGTGTTGGATAAACAGTGCTTCGACTCCGGAGGTCCGAGGGGAGGCGCGAACGCGACAAGCGCTGATCGGATACACACGTGATCGCGACGCAACGCGTACGCCACCCGGGTCAGTGTGCTCGAGTCTCGACAGCTTTCTTCCTACTACTAAACGGCGAGGCCGTAACCTTCCTTAACACCGTCGACCACAGCTAAAACAAAATGCCGCTTGTGATGAGGAATTGATGGGACGCGTCGAACGTCTCCGAATCTCCGGAACCAGCAGGATTCGGCTTTCAGGCGACTTGGAAACGGAACCGACAATGGCTAACACGCTTGTATTGGTCAGCCTCCCATTGGCGAAGGGATAATCTGAAGAAACGCGAAAGCTCTCTTGAACCTCTCGCCTAAATTGATTTCTGGATACTTCGCGTCACGAAGGAAACATGGTTAGTATTCCGCCATATCTTGAGTTTGGAAGCTTGAGTCAACATGCTCATGATTTCCATGCTTGAAAGTCTCAGCATCGCGACAGAACGCCGAACAGTCCGTCCTTGCCTCTGGGAACCGAGCGCGAGACACCTGCCCAAGAAGAACGGTCACAAAAGGACCCCAGCGAGCCAACGAACGGCTCTCTAAGTCTACTTCAGCGTTACATCCCCCTGCTTAAAAATTAATTTGAGCTGCGGAAAAAAACAGCTGTTAATCGATGCGCTGAAAGTACGTACTTGCCAGCGTTAATTCACGCCTTTCGTCTCAATGTAGCCTTTTTCCAAGATGGAACTCGAGGCCAAACAGAGCGATAGCCAAATCCTGCTCTCGCTGAACGCACTGTTGGAAGAGTCCGTCACTGCACGTCAGCGTGATACTGCCATCCTGGCTGTAAGTTCTCTAGAGAGTACCACCTCTGCGCTCATTCACGAACGAGAACCTACAGAAGCTCAACAATCAGAGTGATGAGTTGTTGAAGAGAGTACAAGAGACGCCCGTGGGTACCAATGCCGATAAGCGACTCTAATTTCTGATCAGTGGGATCGTGCACAGGCGCAGCATAGAAATCGTGTTCATTTGACGCGTGCATGCAAAGCAAGCAACTCTATTGCGGTCGCCTTATCGCACACTCATCCATATGTTCATAGGCGCAGAAACTCAAGAGCGTATACACATTCGACAAAATCACGCCCTTCGAGAGCGGCGTATTAACGCCCTATATCAATGACATGCACAGATTGCAGCTATCTATACAGGAAGCGGTATCTATCGGGATGCTCAATGCGATTAAGGAGGAGCTCCGCGAGCTGGACCAGGCATTCCACTTGTAGCTTCATCCGACTCAAGACTCATGTGGACGGTACATATCCGTATGCACTCGTGAAGATCTTTGCTTGGCATCGTCGTCTCTCTCGCTTGAATTCGACGCATCGGACACTTCTTTATAAATGAGTATACAATAATAAGTAGATGTGCGCTCTAAATGTTTTGCGGTGTCCAGCTGTTCATGTGCCACGTCCAGTCCTCGCTTCAAGTCCGGAGCCATCGTTCCAGTTTTCTACGCCTTGACAGGCTCATCCGCGAAGAACTCCTTCAGCGTCCGCCCCAAGATCGACAACCCCTGCTGCATCGCCTCCTCGGTTCCCGCAAACGTCAGCCGGAAGTAGTTCATGCGATCCTCGATCGGGTCCTCGACATGGTTCAGCTGCGGGTCGTACGGCAACGCGAACACCCAGGCAGGCATGACCACGAGCCCGCCATCAAGACAGCTCTCGAACAGCTCCTCCATCAGCTCTTTGCAGTTGGTCCTCGGCACGCTGCGCTTGCTCGTCCCCGACACTCGATAGCGCGGATGCCGCTCGACACTGATGACGAACATGCCCGCTTGTGGCCGCCCGGGCGTCGCGAGCCCCGGCGCGGCGCGTACGACCTCCCGCTCGAATAGCTCTAGGAAGTAATCGCGCCGGCGCTGATACTCCGCGCGGAGCGAGCTCACCCAGCGCCCGAAACCTTCGAGCGTCCACCCATGCGGACCGAGCAACTCCGTGACGAACATCTGGCCGAACGCGTGCGGGTGCTGTGTGCTCGAGTCGGTGAGGATGACCAGGTGTCGGTGGAAGAAGGGTGAGGACGTGATCCATCCAAGGCGCATGCTCGGTGCGATGATCTTGGAAAAGGAATCGACGCGCATCACGCGCCCGTCGACGTCGAGAGAGAGGAAGGAAGGTACGAGCGTGGGCTCGGAGGAGTCTGAGGTGCTGTATTGCAGGAAGTAATAAGGGTCTGGGTGACGTTAGGTTGGGGAAGCACGATGAGCGGTTGTCGCGACAAAGGGATATGCAGCGGCAATGGAGGGCAGGAATGTCGCTTGCGAGAGCTTCGTAGCGGGGAGACGGTTTTTTCTTGATCTTACTTTATTATTTCCGTCTCATCCGTCACAGCGCTAACTGTCCTAGTCATGTTGTCACACCCGATGTTTTGCAGGCACAGTGTATATATATATTCGAGAACGTCGGTGGAGAAATTCATGACTGAAAAGACCGAAAGCCATGGTAGACTCTCCTTGCCCTGTATGCGTGCCTCGGCCGACATACACATCCCTCTGCCCACCTATTCACCTTTTCACTACCGCTCCTCCACACCCACAGCAAGCTCACATGGTTGTGAATTTTGAGCGCAATCCACGATCCGCTATCCGCTTTTATCCGATGGACGCATCCTCCTGGCATTGGAGGGTGGAATGAATCTGATTATCATGAGCATCAATACAATTCTTATATATATGAGTGGCATGACTGCTCACGCTTTGCCTGTATAATCACCTCATAGTGTCAAGTCCACTTTTTCACTTCAGAATCCACGCCCATGAACACTGGTAGTTTGTTCCAGTACAAACCCTGCAGCGCGATGATGTTGTGCTGTATGTGCGGTGCACATATGTCGCAGAAACCACTGTACGAAGGCTTCCGCACATTGATGTCTTCGTAGATTTGAGTGAGAGTGTCAATAATGTTAAGGCACACCAATGACGCTTCCTGGACATATTTGCTCCTCAGCCTGTATGAACAGTATCATGAGAATCAAGGTGCTCGGGTAAAGACTAAGAAGACGGCACCTGTCCAGTTCACATGTGCATAGCGATACAGTTTCGCACGTGGAGCTGATGCCTTTGAGCGCATCTGTGTGCACGTTTTTGACCTTGAATGCGAGACGAACCTGCGCAGAAGAGATCACCCCGATATATGACCCATATGACTTCTTCGTGAGTACATCATCCCACGAGAATCTCAAGAGCTTTGAAGTGTCAAGCATGCAGCACCAATAAAGTGCCGTGGGGAGAATGGTCATGGTACCCGTCATATGGGCAAGTTTGATTGCTGTGACAGCATCTCCAGGCTCCATCGTGAGCACGCGAGCGCCGGGGCTATTGTTCTTCTTCCATCTCTCCAGCGTATTGGGGAAGCGGCGGCAGATCCTTTCGAGGGCAGCTGTGAGCAGACCTTGGACCTTAAGGTAATGCGCGAATCGAACTATGGATGCGACAGTAGCAAAGTCCTTTGGCTTTGGCGCCCACAGCCTGCAGCAGATCGAGGTCAGCAGCCTAACACAAGCTCGAGACTGTGATTGCCGTACAAGCTTCCATGGTAGACTGTCCGAAAAAAGCGACGGGTGTCGTCTGCCTCGATATCTAGCTCGATCAGCACACAATCGTCCGGCACCTGGCTCGAGCGTTGCTCTGGAACAGAGTTCAGGCATCGACATCCTTCGACTACACCTTTGTGCTCACTTCCATCAGACGAACCCGTGGCCGAGCCATCTTCAGTCAAAAGGACCATTGCATTTACAAGGCCTCGACCGTAATCGCCATCGAAAATGACCTCTCGATTGACGCGAAATCCCCAGCCTTGTGATACAACGATGAACTTGCCATCAGGAAAGTTGAATTCGGGACAGAATTTGAAAGATGGTGGCATGATAGTACTAATTATCCACACAGATCGACGACGGAACGAGATGAGGACTGCTAAGATGACAGCCAAGACACGACGGTACCGGCGATGGAGCAAGACTCTATAAGACTCGCTGTCGATGCTCGCTACCAATGCTCGCTATCAATATAGGGTCTGCGACTTCGGCATTAGGCCGAAGTCACGTGACACAAGTAACACGATCGCGTCGTCGCTATACTCCGATTCTCTCCGATTCTTATAGTCAGTGACCCCGTCCAGAACAGACACTCCGCGGATTGCTGCACATCCAGCATCCGCTTTTTGAATGCTTTTTTTCGAAGCCCTCTCGACGCGATCATTCGTTGCAGGCAGGTGATCTTTCACGACTGACCCTTCACGCGAAGAAAGCGAAAACAAAATCTCATCAAATCTCTTGTATCAAACGCCTCTCTTCGCGGAATGAGCAAATCTTTCCACTGCAACTGCACCAGGATTCCGACCCAGCTCTCATTAAGGTCAGGTTGGTCAAAGGGCCGTCCCAGACGTCCTCAGTACCCTCACCACGTTCCCAGTCGCCCACTCCCAACCAATCAGCCTCGCAACCGACCCACTCTGGACGTCCCAAACACCGTTGAGTGCTGCAGAATGAGGTACGTTGTTCGCCCGCCATCTCTCAGGAAAGAAAGGACAGCTGAGCATCGACGCAGATCTCTCGGTGACCTTTGGGTCAATAGATGAGGTTTCCGCGCCCATCTCCTCTTCTCCTGCGTCCGTCCCGCCCATCAAGTTCGAGGGCGTAAAACTCACTCTTCGCTGAGATACCGGAGCGCCGCTTGGCAGGTCTCCAAGAACATATGGATAAAAACTGTTAAAGAAGCTAGATGCCACATCACAGACACGGTGAGGAAATAGATCAATTCTCTGCTGCATCGCTCAAGACAAAGTACCCGTTCTCTGGTGCTATTTGAAGTAGAACTACATGGTTTGTTCCAATTATGCACTCGGCGGTCGAAGCAGCGTGAAACAGTGATGAGAATTGCTCAACACTCTCCAAAGTGTCATACGATTGGTCCTCATCTCACGAGCTTGAAATCATCGCTTTCGACACAAGAATTTGTGGCGTCCTCCGTCACGTGCTCACGTCCTTTCTCTCCGAGTGGGCGCTTTGTTTTTGTGCGGAGTGTCTATCTTTGCAGAAAGTTATTTGGAATTTGACGCGGACAGAATATGTCTCGACAACGTAGAGCTCTTTGGGAGGCCGAACTCGACGACGATTGGCAAGACATCGATCTCAGTTCTGCAATCGGCAACTATGGGCAGATGTATGATG